GCGCCCCTAACACTTGCCTCCCGCGGGGACACACCAGTGCTCGTAACAAAGGCTGTCACTGGCTGGCGACCGGGGCGCTGGTGCTGGTGGCATCTGAGTTTGGACTCCAGGAACGTATCTCCGCTTCCAAACGTTTACAGACAAGTCTGCGCTGCGTTATCCTACAAGGGTCCCCGCGCGGCCAGGATGGAAGGGCCGCCCACCCCAGTCCCTTCTGTTCTCTGTTCTGTCGCCCGAATTCTCTCGGCCACCCCTGCGCTGGTCCAGCGTTGGTCTCAAAGTAGCAAAGTCCGTCCGTTCACCGGCCAGGATCTGCTCTCTGCTGTTCTCCTGTCGGTTGGGCCGCGGGCGTGCGCGTCCGTGACCCCCGCGCCCCCGTGGGGAAGGGGCTTTGGGGCAGCAGCGGCCACAGGGACCTGTTACTTTGGAGCCGCGGGGCTGCAGGGGCGCGAGGCGCAGGGCGCGGATTGTGTCTGGGCCCCCGCGCCGCCCCGCCCCTGGGCAGGTGCCACCCAGGTCGTCCCCGTCCCCGTGAGAAGGGCTCCTGCCGCCCAGCTGTTCTCCCTGGAGGGGCGTCTGTGTGTGTGTGTGTGTGTGTGTGTGTGTGATCCCCGCGCGCTCTGTCCCCACCGTCCTGTCCCCCGCCCGTGATGAAGTCGCTGTGGCCTGTTTCGCTGTGGACTCGGAGGCCCAGGGTTGTGAGGGCTCCGAGCAGGGACAAAGGGACAAGCGTCCTCAAACGGGAAGCTTCTCGTGCAAAGCGCGCTGGTGTCCGAGACACTATGAGTCCACTTGTGCCAGGTGCGCCTGTCTCCTTTGTGTGTCTTGCGTCGGTGCTCCCCGGGGTGTGGTGACGGGCCCAGAGTTCTAATGCGACTTTGACGGGGACCTCCTCGTAAGAAACCAGCTCCAGAAGCTTTATTGGATTCACCCCGGGGGTAAGCCCCCGCCCCGGTCCAGCGCCGCGTCTCCCCCCAAAACAAGGAGGCCGCCGAGCCAGCCAGGAGTCGAACCTAGAATCTTCTGATCCGTAGTCAGACGCGTTATCCATTGCGCCACTGGCCCTGCCGACGGCGGCGCCCTCTAACCGCCCTGAATTAGGCCTCGGAGGCGCTGGCGGCCCCGCCCCCGGACTCGCGCGGGGCTCCGGTGCGCGCCCCGCTCCGGTCCCCGCTGGAGCGCGCGAAGGGCCGCCGCCAGCGCGGGGGGTCCTCGGTTCCGCGCCCCGCCCGCTGGGGTCGCCGCCCCCGTGCAGGGGCCCTGCTCGCCCCGCGGGAGCGAGCGAGGTTTCAGGCTCAGCTGTTGGAGAAGTGGAGGAAACCGGAGTCGGGGCCCAGCGTGAGCGCATGGGGTAGAATACACTCGCCAACCCAATCGGACTAATTCTTACCCAGTTTGGCCGCTTGCCCCCGGGGTCTTGCTCACGGAATGCCTGTCTCTGGAGAGCAGCGCCCTCGGTGTCGGCAGTAGCTGGTTTCACTTACAAGTGTGTGCGGGAAGAACCGAGTGAGAAACGTGCCCGCGAGCTTGGGAAACAGGTGGGCGAGCAAGCGGGAGATCCGCGCCCTCCTTCCCCGGGGGTTTCAACGGGAGCGCAGCGGGGACCGGGCACCGCGCTGGCGCCCTGGTCTCCTGAGCGCCCGGCAGGCTGCGCGCCCAGTAGGTCTAACGCTAAGTGACACACAGTGGGGCTGGGCTGCAGAGCAGGCCTCCTGGGGGAAGAGCCGGTCTGGCCGGATGCGGAGAGACAGCTCGGTGAACCGCAGGCACCGCACACTGACGGTCGCCGTGCCCCTCGTGTGGCCGGCTTTGGGGTTCCCTGTGCCGGCGATCAGGAGGCGCCGCAACAGAATGCTCAGGAGCCTCTGCGAGGTCTGCCTCTAGAGATGCCCTCCCACTAACAGGGAGCCTTCAGCAACGGGTCCACGACAGCGGAAACGACGACATTCAGTGGCTTCAACAAAGTGGATTTATGATCACACATAACAAGTCCAGAGGGTGCGGCAGCCCTGTGCCCGGGGAAGGCAGCGCTCCATGACGTCATCACACCCAGATTTCCAAAACATCTGTGCGTCCTGTCCCTTCTCAACATACGGATGTCACACTCCAGCCGCTTTCCCTGGAATTCCTCAAACTCTCACAATCTTTCAAGTCCAGAAGGGGGGGAAAAAACCCCCAAAACCCAAACAGTCCTCTTTCTTCTATCTCCTGCGGAGGACAAGTCCCCCGGTGCGCCCCGGGGGGACTCCCCCCACCCACTGGCTAGAGCTGCATTGGGCACTCTCATCTAATCCAGTTATTTCCTGGAGCAGGGCCACTGGGGTTGATTAGATGGGTCATAATTCTTCTTCTGGAGCTGAGAGTGGGGTCCGTCTCCTCCAAAGCCAAGGCGGTGGAGGGAATTCTATTAGGTGAAGAAACACATTTCTCTGTTGGGAAGGAGGCATGGGGGGAAGGGTGCAGGGGACTGGCGGAGGTATACCCAAGCAGCAGTCTGCTCCAGCCCCATACGTGAAATAAAATGAAATACACAGTCTCTAAAGCATTTTTGAGAGCTGAGAGCTCTATTCCTGACGTTAACCTACATTAGATCGTAGCCACATTTCCAGACCTAACCCTCATAGAAGTCATTTGACCTACAGTTTGTATTCAGTACTGTATTCAGTGCGAGGACATTAACTGGGCATTAATTGTATATGACATTACTTGTACGTGATTACATGTTGACCTAGACATCAAAATTGTATAATTTTGGCTATTAATAACGCCATCCATCACAGAGCTTTCCGACCGCATAGTGACACGGTACCACAGCCTCTAGATCTGAAGTGTCGGAGGCTAACGTGCGTGTTGCAGAAGACAGTGCTGAGTGAGACCCGGCCTGAAACTGCTTCCTTCTGCTTCTCCAGACGGAGCAGGAGCCTTAAACCCTTAACTCTCTCAGTGATTTGCGCCACTAGATTTGTCTACAAAATACATAACTCTCATTGGTTCCCACACATCATTTTGCAGCCTCTTTAATGGCTGTAGGTATTTTTCATTTATTTCATCATCGTGATCTGCTCAACTCCAGCATCACCTCAGTTTACCACTTTCTGTTGTAAGTTGGACTCTCTCTTCTCATCATTGTTCGTGAGAAGACACTTGCTATGGAAAGAAAGAGGGGGCTTAGAGAGGGACCCAGGTTAAGGTCTGGACTCTGCCTTTTATTCGCTATGCGAATTTAGACCAGTCACGTAATTTTTCAGTCACCGCATTTCCTTATTTGCTGTATGAGTTTGACCGCCACTTTGCAGGTTCGTTGTGAGACTAAATAACGTCACGCAGGGAAAGTCCTGGTGGATCTTGGCTGTCAGGAAAACGTTGTCTCCATTGAGAGCAATGTCTGCTTCGCCCCCTGGCTTCTACAACTTCATCTCAATAACTCAAAAGGCATTTACTGCATTTGCGCTTACCACGCAATTTGCGCTTACCACGCAATTTGCGCTTACCACGCAAAATGTGAAACCCTAAGGATTTGCAGACGAAGCTGAATCCCCATTTCTCAAGGAACTAACATCCACTCAGAGAGAGACAAATCTAAACTCCTCTGAACTCCTAATTACAGAAGCGTCATCCCACAAGCAAGGAAGGAAACGTGTTGTTATGAGCGTGGAAAAGACGCAGGAGCCCCGGAGGCAAGTGCCCCGAGCTCTACCTGACAGGTCACCGCGGGTGACTCACCTGGATCAACTCACGCTCTGCCTCTCAAAAATAAACATTAAGAAAAGAAAACATTTTGAAAGATAGCTTCGTGCCAACTTGTAAATAACTTTATTTGTCACGATAAGGGGCTTATCCTGAAGGCAAGAAGAAGGCACAACAGGCTTTGGGGAGAACATTCTCTGGGTCTTAGGAGGGTTGAGTCGGTCAGCGGCCGCAGAGGCAGAGCGCAGCCGGGGAGCAGCCACACAGTGAGACCCTGTGGCCTGGGCGGGGGTGGCCGTCACTGCCGTGGCACTGAGTGTGAGGAGGGCTCAGGGAAGGGGACAGAGACCTGGCTGAGGCGGAAAGCATAGGTCTTGGTGACTCATTGAAAGTGATAAGCAAGGAGAATTTAGGATAATGCTTATGTTTATGGGTCAGGAAATTCCATTAACCATCACTGAATACTAAAAACAAACTAACTAAAGAATCCTGAAGGAAATAAGCTCCAGATTCTAGTTAACCCCTCCTCCCCCCCAGCCAAATCTCTTGTGTAGCCTGGATTCTACCCAAGCTTTCTTTGAGTCTTGGAACTACTCATGCATGTTTCCAGTATATTCCCTGTTTAAGGCAGTTTGGATACGGTTTTGTTCCCTGCACCAGAAAGAGTCCTGAATAATACAACAGTGAACAGATTCGACCCCTGACATTTGCAGAGGGCAGAGAAAAAAAAAAAAATTTAAATCACTATTCAGGCCTCACAGATGGAGAAAGAGCTTCATTACTTTTAGGAAACTGTTTCCGTGAGACTGGGTATGTCAGCGCGCAGGTGGGTGGGCCTCGCGTATCTTCAAGGTGAGGAGAAGGTTTTCATTTCAAATCCCCAAGAGCCAAAGCACACACCTCCCTCCCCACACCCCAACTGGGTCTTCTCTTTCGTGAAAACCTAACGTCCTGGAATCCTGGCCCATATCTGCACAGGGTTAGTCATGGGCTACCTCTTTCTAGTCTCACACAGTAATTAAACACAAGTGTGTATAGTCCGGAGTCTTGAGTTACAGGTTGGATTGGACACGACATTTCTTTTTTTTTTTTTTAATGTTTTATTTATTTCTAGGAGAGAGAGAGAGAGACAGCGTGAGCAGGGGAGGGTCAGAGAGAGAGGGAGTCACAGACTGAAACAGGCTCCAGGCTCTGAGCTGACAGTCAGCACAGAGCCCGACGTGGGGCTCGAACCCACGAACCGCGAGTACATGACCTAAGCGAAAGTCGGACGCTCAACCGACTAAGCCACCCAGGCGCCCCATGGACACGACATTTCTATTAAAGTTAGCCTTCTCACCACCACTGAGATCAGGCTAGCCATCTTTACCCAGTTTCCCCAGTTTCCTCTACGACTGTTACTGGGCTCTCACTGGCCACTGGTATTTGCTTGGGTTCCACTTGGATTGGTTTCTGTAAAACACACTGCAGCCAACAGTGGTGGGAGCTGCAGAAACAGAGAATTCCTGAGGAAAGAATGATGGTTTGAAGGTGAAACACTACAGTAGTTGATACACGTTAAGAAACTTAACAATTTAAAACAGTTAGAGCAGGTGTGACCCATGGGAGTGTGATGCAGGAAGGAGAAGGACAGAAGAAGGGCGATGATCACAAAAATTTGACCAAATGTGAAGTAGTCTGAAATAGGAAAGGAGAGGAGAGAGGCCAGCAGCGCCCTCTAGGGTCCCCTTCCTTCCTGGGTCTGAGTCCCTAGAATACTAAACAAGCAGGGCACAGACTTTAAGGTGAGACCAAAGGCAACTGGTGGGAAGCAGAGGGATGGAGGCAGAGGGAGCCGCAGAAAGATCTAGAATAGCGATTCTAGATTCTAGAATCATGGTTCTAGCAAGGCTGGTGTCCCCAGAGGCCTGACGCCTCATGGGGTCCACATGGGGGCCAACAATTCCTGGGAGGGACAGGATTCGTGTGGGGCCTTCCCTTTCAAGGGCAGAACCTACTCGATTTTGATGGAGGAATCCAGCACGTGATGTCACCACTGCAGATGGCAAAGAGGGCGCTGAATAGGACCTGGGAGCCACCTAGGATCTCTATCCTCACCCAGGTGGAGAGGCTGAAGGCCCACCACAGCAGGGCCGAGCCCGTGAAGGTGCCCACCAGGATGGGGCCGCGGTACAGCCTGACTATCCCACACTTCACACAGAAGGGCGCTGACTGGAAGAACGTGAGCGGAAGGCACATGGGTTACAGCTTCTCACTTCCCTTGGGGTTTCTTCCCATTCTCACATGGCCATGCAAGTCCGACCTCCGCTCGGTCTGCAGGCTTCTCCTGCCTCTCCCCTTGACCTGATCGTCTCCTGTCTCTGTGCCCTGGCCCGCAGGCCAAGAGCCTTCCCTTGGGTGGACCCCTGCACGGCCCCTCACAGCCTTGATTTGTTACTATGCTTTTTCTGGGTGTCCTGTGTCACCACCTGGGCTGCGGTTCCCTGGAGGACAAGAGCCCTGACTTAGCCCCCTATCACACTTGGCCCAGGGCTGTACACGCAGGGGGAGCTTGGCCAATACCTGAAGACAGAAAGGAAAAAGCAAAACCTAGCATATGCCAATTCCATTCCTCGGTGATGTCAAGAGAAGTTGGGTTTTTCTGATGCTCAGCTCTCGCTGGCGTGGTCATCGCCTCTTGTCCCCTTGTCTTCCTGCTTGGAGTCCCGCTTACCTTTTCTCTTACTTCTTTGAATCTTTCTGTTACAGCTTTCATCCTTCGATTACACTCTGTTTTCTACTGCAGCTCATCCCAACCTCTTCAAGAGCAGAAGCTTGCAGAGCTCTCCTGTGTTCCCATTGGTAGGGACGCTCAGTGACATCACAAGTAGGTGAACTCTACCTTCCTCCTTGCTGCCTCTCTTCTGTTTTAAAAAAACATAGTGGTGGCACCTGGGTGGCTCAGTCGGTTGAGCATCTGACTTTGACTCAGGTCATGATCTCACAGTTTGTGGATTCAAACGCCACGTCCACAGAACCTGCTTCAGCTCCTCTGTCCTCTACTCTCTCTGCCCCTTCCCGGCTCATGCTTTCTTTCCTCCAAATCAATAAAACATTACCAAAAAACAAAACAAAACAAAACCCATACCATTTCCCAGGGGTGCCTGGTTGGCTCAGTTGGTGGAGCATGTGACTCTTGATCTTGGGGTTGTGAGTTCAAGCCCCAAGTTGAGTATAGAGATTAATTAAAAAAACCCACTTCCCATACCTCTCCACCCAGCCATGTCTTTGCTTTCCTCGGCACACGTGTACCTCAAAAGTTATGGCTTATGCTCTTAGATCTAACTTCTAATATTGCCTAGGCAGGATTATTGCATTCCTGTACGAGACTGAAGGGCACATGAGAGAGATTACGGGATAATCAAGGAAATACCTGGGTAGATATAATTGGAAAACAATTTTGTGCCAAAGGGGCACTGTGTCATACTACGCTCTTCACATCCTTCATAGGAATAATGTTAACCCATGTGATACCTTTGACCCCGCCCCTACTGTCTAGCACACCGCTTGGCCAATGGTGGACACTCTGCAAGTCTGTTGATTAAGGAATTAATGAATAAGTAAATATAAATAATGAGAGGACAATGCAGAGGGTTGTTAAGGACCTCTCTAGAAGTTTTTAAAATGTAAATTCATGGACGGCTACGACTATCTTTGTCCATTCTATTCATTTAAGTGTTCTGCGACCCTAACTTATTGTCTGTCACCAGGCAGGCGCTATGTAAATATTTCTGGAATGAATGAATGACCTAGGAACAAAAGGCTTATCCTCAGCGTGGAGGGATGAAGCATTGGTCATGTTTACTCAGTTGACCTTTCCTGTTAGGTATATACTTTACCAAAATATTTAAACATTAAGCAGGATGCTTGAGTGTGCGACAGTAATATATTTCTAGCTGAAACTATAGGTCTTTGTATCTATCTGTTGTACAATTAAAAGAAGATAGTCTGATAATGCCATTGGCTGGGGAAAGAAAGGATATTTGTGGCAGGAAATCAGATGTAATTCAACAAGGTAAAGATTGCTTTTGACGACCATGTGCACTTGGAGCTCCAACCCTGAGACTTAGGGAGAGTAGATATTGCAAGGGAATATCTTTAAGTTTCAAGGTTGGCGGGAGCTCCATTGAGAAGAGCTGTTGAAGTCCGGCTCCGGCAGGTCCAGGGGTCCCTAAAGGATGGACGGTGTCGGCGAGAGAGAGAGTGAGAGAGCCCCGGAGATTCTTTCTGATCACCAGGCAGGCGTCTCCGTCCTGTCGGTTTTGGTGTCTTTATTTAAAGGTTCAAAAACAATATGAGGTCAGAGAAAGAAGTTCTTTTACAATGGAAGGTCTTTTGCGATGACAATTGCAGAATTATCCCAATCATAGTGAATTTACGACCAAGGAAATAACAGGATGCTCTTATTAAAAAACAGTATAACATATAGGTTCAGTTGTATATAGATAAGCTAGGAATCACTGTGTCTGGCTCTCAAGAGGATGAATATCCTGGTCATAGTGAATTTATGACCAAGGAAATAACAGGATGCTCTTAGTGGAAAACAGGATAACATATAGGTTAAGTTGTATATAGATAAGCTAGGAGTCATTCTGTCTGGCTCTCAAGAGGATGAATGTGTCTGAATTGGTTTGTGTGTGGAAACTATCATGGGGGCCCTAAATGTGTCCGTCTTTGCACCTGGGTTTATGTTTTAATTACTCTTATCTGTCCTCATCCCAGCTGCCAGTGTAAGGGAGGGTGTTTGTGGAATGTAGGCCTTGAGGAAGGGACTGCCATACATCACCAGTTAGTAAGTTATGTTCTGCCCTTATTTGTACCTTAACTGTAAATTAGGTTCTTCTGATATGAGACCAGACTCAATTGCAACTCTTGTTTTCTTAGCCCCCTTTATTATCTAAGTCTTGGATCTGCAAGGCCCATAGAAAGAGCCTTTTGACAATGATCCACAGAGCTTTTATCTAAAATCTCTTTTGTAAAGGCAGGAATATGCTTTTCCTTATGCGGTATCTGTGTTCAGAATATTGGTCTGATCTGCAATATTGTGAGGCCTGGGCAATACCAGCAGCCTCATTTCCAACATGAGCCAGTAGTAACAGAAGGAGATAACAGTTTTCATTTCTCATGGCAGGAGCTGTGCAAACACTGCCATTTCCTTGCTGTGACTGTCATCCAGAGAGGCCGGTGCGGCTCCCGGCAAAGAGCAACATATTTTCTTAGCTCAGTGGCCCCAGAGAGTGTGATTCTTGAGTGCAGTTTGGTACTGTGGGGTGGGGTCCACAGACAGATTCCAAACCCTTCTCAACCAGAGATCTATAGCTGAGCTGATCTTACAGCAAACTGATTATCACGAGCCACTATTTTCTCAAAGGGTGGTACACAGCTAGTTCCATTCTAGATGCCTTAGGAGAGGTTAATTCATTACCTCCAGTGGGCACCTAAGTCCACTAGGCTGACTTAGGTTAGTCTGAGAAAAGATGGACCACGGCTGAGTCCCCTATGCATTTTCCACTTAAGAAAAGCTTAGGATTTTCTCAGGGTCTATGTATCTATAAAAAATAATTCTTTGAGTTAGTAGCTTCAGTACACTAGACTTTTCCTCGGGTGTCCCAAACCCCTTTATCCGTCTGGTTGAAGACAGTGGGACATTACTTAGTGCTCTTAAGTTCAGTGGTAACCTTTTATCTGAGTTGGAAGACAGTCTACTTTTAGGGGCAAATACTATTTATAAACTTCAAGAAGACTTCAGGGGCTCTTTTTCCTCCTTTGAACTTGAGACACATAGTACCTTTCACATATGGCTCACCATTTTTCTATCTTACACTACAGTTTTTGTTTTGACATATATCGCATACACATGACAAATGGTAATTCAAAACAAAAGAAGAAGAAAGAAGAAAGTGTTGGGGATAGAAATGCCAGCTAACTCTACATAATCTCTCTCCCACATCACCCACCCCCCAGAAAGACCTCACACTCCGGGTGCACACGCACACACGCACACGCACCCCTAGAGCCAGCCCCTCCTGCCAACTTCTCATCTCACAAGTCTAGCTCTGAGCTCTTTAATCTAGTTAGGTATTTTGAAAAGCTAGTTGAACTTGGCATTGGGAGACCCAGAACTTCGGAGGGCCAGCTCCGGCCTGTTCCGTAGTTTGCCCCAGGCAGCTCCCATCTCACGTGCCAGGGAGGGACGCCCGCGAGCCGCAGCCACGGCAGCCCGACGCCCCGCACGCGCCCTCTCGCGGCCGCCAGCCTCCTTGGGGGTCCACCCGCACGCGTGCTGGGGGACAGGGGGACGCAGGGATCTGCCTCCGTGCGCGCCCCCCCCCCGGCCAGGCCCCCCCACCCCCCCGCGCGGAGCGCGGTCCTGGGGACACCGGGCGTGTGCACCTGTCCGTCCCGGGCCCCCTGGAAGTGGCCGCTGCCGTTTCGCGAGCGGAGCGCCCTCCGCGCCTTCGGGCTCCGGGCGGGGTCGCAGCGGGACCCGCTCTGCCTGGGCGCCCGGGGAGAGCGGGGGGTGGGGGGACGACGCCCGGGGGCGCGCCCGGAGAGCGCGGGCCGGGGGGGGGGCGCGCCCGGGCCCGCTCCCCAGCGGCCGACGCCCCTGCGTAGGCCGTGTAGCAAGCGACCGGAAGCCGCGAGCAGGCGCTCCAGTGGCGCAATCGGTTAGCGCGCGGTACTTATACAGCAGTATGTGTGCGGGTGATGCCGAGGTTGTGAGTTCGAGCCTCACCTGGAGCATCGTTTTCCGCCCGGAGGCCGCGTCGCTCCCGAGAGACCCTTCGCTGCTTCCCGGTGCCCTTTGGGAACATATCCCTCCGTCTTTGATGTGTTTGACTTCGTTCGGTAGCCAGTATCCTCGCCGTTCTCCCTCGCGCTTTTGAGACAGAACAAAGTCAAGGAGCATTTACAGACTGGCTGTGCGGTGTGTTGAGTGCGTTAGCTTCTCTCTTTATCCCCACCCGAGGACCATCTCCTGACACCCCTTTCCTACTTTGCTCTAAAGATGGTAGTTCCTCGGGGAGCCCCCGGCACCCGAGCAGCCTGCCTGCCGCGATGAGCCCTGAACTCCATTAGAGAGAACTCAGAAGAGAGAAATGTCCTGCCTGATGAAAGTTCCAGATTGGGGGGGGGGGGGAGTGAGATACTGATTTCTGAATCTGCCCCCCCCCCCCCGACCCTGATGAACCAACAGCCATGGAAGACAGAGCAGCTTTGGTCAACTGAGAAGCAGAACCGGCATCCTCAGAGTCTCCAGCCGTCTGCGCCTGGAACAGGGTGAGCAGGGACGGCATAGAACTAGACGTGTGCAGAACATTCTGGGAAAAGCATATGGCGGTGCATGAGGTGGGTGGGAAGTAGCTAGTGATTCTAACTTAGAAATATGCTGACCCCCCCAACCCCCCATGAAACAAGAAGTCCACCTGGTCACGGATCTCATCACACCTACTCACTCTGCCCGGAAGGGTAGATTGACCTGGTAATTTGGATTACTTTTCCTAGGTGTAAAGATTGCCGCAAACCGTGACAGCATGTATGTCCCATCCACAACAGGATACGCAAAGTAGTACATGGAACGAAACTGAGCCCGGAGACCTCGGTCTTGAAATCTGGACTCCTAAATGTGTCCTGCATCTGGACATTGTATAGTCACAGAGTGGTCTTCCTGGGGAAGGGGAAGGAAGTCTCATCCAGGAAAGCACCAGATAATAATAAAAGTGGACACTTTGACACTTCGTAGCTTTTGCTAGGCCACCACAGTATCTTAGAGACTGTCAAAGTCTAATCTTCAAATATCTACGGAGATTAAATGTCAAAGATTTATTTAAGTCGTTAATGAGGAAATGGACAGTATGGTAAAGTAGTTCAAGTAACAACATCAGGGACTGGTAAATGCATTATCAGTGGAAAAAAAGAAGGCTCAGATAATACTGCAAACTTGAGTGAAAAGCTAGCTAATGTCCCACAGAACAGCGAAATATAATTTTTGAGTTATTTTTCTAAAAGACAGAAACTAGTTGCATTTCTACTGGGTAAAAATCAGTTGAGATTTATCAGTCTTCTGCAGGATAGCATTTAACTTTACAGAGTCTAAGCCTTAGAGTAGCAATAACCGAGGAAAAGCAGGTGCCTCTTAGGCGGGCTTGTTGAACATGCTCTAATATAATTTTGAAAAGATATTCTGTAATCTTTTTGCCATATTTTCAAGATTTGGCTAATTTTTCTTAACAGATCCAGCATCTTAATTCAGTTCTTCTTTTTTTTAAATGTTCTCTTTATTTCTGAGAGACAGCGTGAGCAGGAGAGAGTCAGAGAGAGGGAGACACAGAATCTGAAACAGGCTCCAGGCCCTGAGATGTCAGCACAGAGCCCGATGCAGGGCTCAAACCCACGAACCGTGAGATCATGACCTGAGCTGAAGTAGGACGCTTAACCGACTGAGCCACCCAGGTACCCCTTAATTCAGTTCTTTTGTCTCTACCTCCATTCAGTTGACCGCATGATGGTCAAGACGTTTCATGGTGCAAAAAGTTGCTTTTTATTAAAGCACATGAACAGGACCCTGTGGGCAGAAAGAGCTGCACAGGGGTTGTGAGGAGTGACTGCTTATACACTTTTTAGTTAGTGGGGGTGAGGGATAAGTAAGTCTCCAAAGAATTGTGTGTGTCAAAAGTGAGATTTACAGGGTCTTGGAGGACTGTCAGTTGTCAAGATAAGGTTTACACTTCCTTTCACTCAAGAAAACCAATGTCTAATATTTCCTTATGTTAGTCAGCAGAGCCGCTGGTGTTCATCCAAGATAAAGAGAACAGCAGTATTTGTAGTGGCCGCTTCTGGATCGTAGGTTTCTGTTTATGATGCCAGCTTACCATCCGCCAGAGTGGCAGGGGCCTGACCCACTTAAAATCATTAAAATCATTGTTTTCATTCTTTATTTTGAGAGAGAGAGCAGGAGCAGGGTTGGGGGAGGGGCAGTGAGAGAGAGGGGAAGAGGGAATCCCAAGCAGGCTTTGTGCTGTCCGTGCAGAGCCCATGAGGGATCCATCCGATGAACCACGAGATCATGACCTGAGCTGAGGTCAAGGGTTGGAATATCAAAACTCTGGAAATAATCCCAGAGTTTCTTCCAGGTCAAAAGATTCATTTAGAATTTGATTTAGGAAAACTTGAGATAAATATCAAAAACGATTTCAAAGCACTGGATCAAATAGGATCATAGGTCACTGTGAAGCAATACTTTGTTATCTGTTTAATCACAGTGTCAGTAAAAGATTTTAAAGGGAAATATAGTTTACACAATTGTTAGCAAAAATTAGCTTTTTTAATATTGAGAAGGTTCTATTTTCCTAAGTGATCAAAGACCTGATAAACACAGGAAAATATTTTGGCAAAACATAGAATCTTTATTTTATAGGCAAATAGCTTTAAAAGATTAAAAAAAAACTTTTATGATCTCTTACCAGGAGGAGACCAATAGTTCAATAAATTTTGTCTTTTTAACAGATGAAAGAAAATTAAGTTCTGGTTTTATGTAAGTGCCCTGTTACTATGAAAGCTTAAAATAAAAACCCATTATAACAAATTCATTAAATCTTATCTAGCTTGGGGGCGCCTGGGTGGCTCAGTCGGTTAAGCGTCCGACTTCGGCTCAGGTCATGATCTCACAGTTTGTGGGTTCGAGCCCCACGTCAGGCTCTGTGCTGACAGCTCAGAGCCTGGAGCCTGTTTCAGATTCTGTGTCTCCCTCTCTCTCTGACCCTCTCCTGCTCACGCTGCCTCTCTCTCAGAAATTTAAAAAAAAAAAAAAACATTAAAAAAAAATCTTATCTAGCTTGACCACATGGAAAATTCCTTTCCCAAGATTCCTTTTTCATAAACCTTCTACAACATTCTATGTCCATTTTAGTTCATCTCTTGAGTTCTTTTTCCCATTCATAAATAACCAGCTTTACTTTATTTTTTAAAAATTTTTATTTATTTTTGAGAGACAGTGACAGCATGAGCAGGGGAGGGTCAGAGAGAGAGGGAGATACAGAATTCGAAAACAGGCTCCAGGCTCTGAGCTAGCTGTCAGCATGACCTGAGCCGAAGTCACACACTTAACCAGCTGAGCCATCCAGGCGCCCCTAACCAGCTTTACTTTAGAACAAAATTACATTCATTTCCCTCAACAAAAATGTACCTTCATTCCTGCTTCCTGTTCTTACCAAAAAACAAAACAAAACCCCAAAACCCCACAAAAACAAAAAACAAAAACCCCAAAACAAAAACAAAACAGGAAAACAAAAAGCCCCACAAAAAACCCAAAAACCCACATCATACCTTCCTTGCATGTGAGTGAACTTTGTCTAGTAGCTTTAATTACATATATTGTTAGAATTCTTAACTTTTAGGAATCTTAATTTCTAGGGAATAGGAAACAATAAGCACCTGTGAACTGTCTGTCACACAAGCATTCTTTAGATTAGGAAATTTATGAATACATTTCATAATTTCTAGAAGCATATGCCTTTAAATTTTTTCCAAGGTAGCACCAACATATCCAAATATCTTTTAGTTTCTCTGTAATAAGAAGCCATAGGTAGATAAACCTATGTTCAATAAGTAATGCTTCAGTATTTTATCTTATTTGGAAATGATCTAGATGTTTAATGCCGATCATCTAATTTAACTTAGCAAAATGTAAGGTTTTAAGTTAACAAAAAGATTTGGGGAAACTATTTTAGTAGACATAAATATTGCTGAGAACTTATTTATGTTTTCATAAATCATAAATTTACCTTACATCTACTTAATTCACTTGCTCTTAATTATATTTAGGTTAGTTATGAACATTTCACAAGACATTAAACAGTTAACCATCATTTTAAAGTTATTTCTCTTGCTCACAAATTCTGTAATGGAGATAACATGAGCTTATTTGATTTTTAGTAAACCTAGATAGAATAAAAGTATGATATATACTGCTGACAACTCTAAAAATGTGTCTCTAACTTTTTTTAAATGTTTACTTATTTTTGAGAGAGAGAGAGAGAGAGACAGAGTATGAGCGGGGGACAGGCAGAGAGAGAGAGGGAGACACAGAATCTGAAGCAGCTCCAGGCTCTGAGCTGTCAGCACAGAGCCCAACACAGGCCTGAACTCACGAACAATGAGATCATGATGTGAGCCGAAGTCAGGTGTTCAACTGACTGAGACACCCAGGCGCCCCATAATGTGTCCTTTTAATTAAATCAACACACTTCAGATAGCTTTTATTTATAAAAGATTAATCCTAGATCATGTGAACTTAAAAAACATCTGGGTTAAGTTTCCATTCTATTTCTGATCATTTAGGTAAGTGCTTAATTTTCCTTAATCATCTTTTACAAATTAATTTTGGCAGTGCCATCTGGAGGTAGGAAATACCACATATCTACAACACGTAATATGAAGAATGTACAGATAGATGCAAACAGAGACCTTGTTGTTTTAAAGTTTTAAGCCACAAGGTGTGTACAATGATGCGAAACTCACTAGGTCATAAGAGAACAGTTGGATCCAAACTTTCTTGGCAGATGGAATAAATTGAGGTTAGCCTCTCAGATGGCAGTTACACGTTTTCCACTAATAGTCGTGGAGGGGACACCAAAGATTTGTATTTGTCCTTGTCAAGTGACCTTATGGCAGCTGTGGGTAGATTTTTCGCAAATGGCCTTCTACAGCCATTTGTATTTTTAAAAAATATATATCATTTATTGTCAAATTGGAACAGCCCTTTGTATTTTTAAAAGACCTATATCCCCATCCACTCCTCATCTGCTCCCCCTCACAACCCTTCTTTCCTTCAATGTTAGGAATTGAGGATGGTGTAGATAAGATTTCTTGAAGAGGTTACAAGCCTTTTAGATAAGTAAGGGAGGTTTTGGGATGGGTAGACAAGGATGGGTAGAATTTGAACTGCCTCTAGGACTGTTTGCATTTTATAAGAGTCGTAAGATAAAGGCAATTGCTCTCAATTTCTCAGAGAATTGGGTTGTAACTTAAATGACATCACAGATCCATCTCTCCAGCTTCATTATCTGCCATTTGCTTCTTTCTGGGTTCTAATTTTAGTGTGCGAGGGCAGGTGGGGGGCAAGACTTTAAAGAATTCCTATCAGGCTCTGAATATCAGCTTCCAATCTGGCCAATTTTTTGACTACAGATCTACTTAAAACAAAATTCTTTTAAATAGCCTATCAGTCTTCAGCTTGAACATATAGTAAATATTTCTGGCAGTATTGAGCAACCCCCTTTGGGTGTAGGTGGGGGCCCTGAAGAGGGTGCACAGGATACCCCCAAAGATGGCCAAAGAAAGAGCCAACAACCTGCATGTCTTGAGCAGAGAGGCAAGAAGCCAAGCCAGCTTCTTAGGACATAAAAAAAGAACCAGGAAGCAACAGGTGTCTCTCGGGGAGAAAGAATCAGTAAGCAATGGGTTTGGACATGGAGACGAGGGACAGTGTGACATTTTATTTTCCTCTCTCAACTGGACACTACAGACAGAGATTCAGAAAAGCTGTTGCTGGTAAGAATTTTTTTTTTTTTTTACCATTTTACCATTTTTACCATTTACCAACCAAAAGCTG